GCGGAAGCCTCCAACCTAATGGCGATGGCCTCCAACCTAATAGCGATCGCCTCCAATCCAATAGCAATGGCCTCCAACCTAATAGCGATCGCCTCCAACCTAATAGCCAATAGCGATAGCCTACAACTAGCGATGGCCTCCAACTTTGAAGTTTGCTCGGTTTCTCAAAGGTGAAAGCCTGTGCTGAGTAAGATACCTCTGCGTTCTCAGAGTGCAGGTCTGGCCATCCCGCCCAAATTGAACACAGCTGACCTGCGAATCCGGCCTGCACGCACGCACGATTTGCACACCACTTCAGCATTGAATAGAATGTTAAAAAAAGTTTGAAGCTGAGTTCCTGACACCTAGCTTCTTTGATTGCATTCTATGTACAAAAAATGACGAGGTGATATGAACTGTACACCATTTCGTGTCAACATGTCCTTGCAACGAATTGCTGAAACGCCGAAAGCCCGCCTCTCCAGTGGCCGAAAGCGCGCAGCCACCCGGATGCTCTCCTGTCTATTTTGGCAGAAAAACAGTTGTCCCCTTTTGAGGGAGAAAACATAGTTTCCAATGTCTCACAGTCTGCCTCCTTTGGAGAACGTCTTTGGCATCCGTCGTCTTCCCATTCGAGCACTTCAAGACCTGCCGGATGTGGGGTTGTTGACGCATGTTCCAGGTAAAGCACATCTGCTAAAGAAAGTCTCCTGGAAAAAGAGATTCACCCAACTTGTTCCAAGGTGAGAGGGGTCAATGCCTGCTGCACGAGGGGTATCAAAGCTCGAAACGGGGCGGCTCAGGTTTGCACAGGAGCTCCACCTGCCAGTCTGGTAGTGTCAACTGTAGCGTTCTTGTTCCTAGTAGTAAGGCCAGGAGCCCCTAGTAGCGTCCTTGCTCCTAGTAGCGATGCCAGGAGCCCCTAGTAGCTTCTTGTTCCTAGTAGTAAGGCCAGGACCCTTAGTAGCGTCCTTGCTCCTAGTAGCGAGGCCAGGAGCCCGTAGTAGCGTCCTTGCTCCTAGCAGCAATGCCAGGAGCCCCTAGTAGCGTCCTTGCTCCTCGTAGTGAGGCCAGGAGCCCCTAGTAGCGTCCTTGCTCCTAGTAGCAATGCCAGGAGCCCCTAGTAGCGTCCTTGCTCCTCGTAGCGAGGCCAGGAGCCCCTAGTAGCGTACTTGCTCCTAGTAGCGATGCCAGGAGCCCCTAGTAGCGTCCTTGCTCCTCGTAGCGAGGCCAGGAGCCCCTAGTAGCGTCCTTGCTCCTCGTAGCGAGGCCAGGAGCCCCTAGTAGCGTCCTTGCTCCTAGTAGCGATGCCAGGAGCCCCTAGTAGCTTCTTGTTTCTAGTAGTAATTTGCAAACCACTTGTAATTAAGCTGTCAGCCTGGGAGGTGTCCAAGCGAAAGCATCTGCAGCGCCTTCCTGGGAAGGTTACACTGAAGAAACACAAGGCAGGCCGTGCGCATTCTCGGCGGCCCTCTGTTTTTGACAGACGAAAAGCGTTCCCGCGTGGGTTGATGTGCACTTTTTCAAAGTTGAGGCTGTTGATAAATCACCAACAAAGTGCGAAACGTTTCTGAAGGCCGAACAGGTGACAGCGTTCTGAATTCAATGACAATGTTTTGAAGCCGATGACAATGATTGAAGCAAAAGCCAAAGACACTGTCCAGTCACTGCCACCCCTGCTTCCTGTGTTGGGGTCCCCTTTGTTGCTTGTATGTCACTTACTGCTATGATGCTCTTGCGCATGCTTCACAAGACTCATATGCCATACCATTTCGCTCAAGGTCAGACAAAAACATGCACTTAGAGTCTAAGACTTAGAGCTTCAGACCAGAGCTCATTTGCTTGCACCCACTCGATCTCGTGAACTTGTCTCTTTTTGGTCAAACTTCACCACTGCCACTGCAAGGGATACCTCCCACCACCAACCAACCAATTTTTATCATATGGTCATCCGATGACAATTTTGTGAAAATGACTTGATGTTGTATGGAAAAAACATGAAAAAACATGAAAACTATGACGAGCACATATGAACCGTCCAGTGCCGCGAATGCAGCACCCTCCCGAACCAGCCAGGCTTTTCTACTCTAAAGTGCACTTGCCCAGGCACGATCGAAATAGAACCCTTTCGTTGCCCCTCGCCTACCAAAGAGGAAATCATGGCCTCAGACCTACTAGCGATGGCCTCCAACCTACTAACGATGAAGAAACCCTGATCCAAGAACATCCTCTTCTGAGTGATCAACTTCTCACTGGCATAGTTCTACTGTGGACATGTTCGTCAAATGCACGTTCAGGAAACAAAGGACTCGTCATTTCAACTGCTATTAACACTGTGATTATGCGAAACTTCGACTTCAAGTGTACGAGAAGGACCTGGGGCTACAAGTGCGTCTTCCATGCAAGCTCAAACACTTCGGGATGCACCTCTGTCAGAGAAAAGAATGATGGATTCTCCATATCATCCTTATTATCTTTATATAGGTGTGTTCCAATTTGTTCTCTTCTATGGCTGTGGCAAAGGGTCTTGTCGCTGGGAGGAGTTCAAATTTGCTTTCGTGGAGAGAATTTCCCAAGGCTCGACTGCTTGCAAGCTCCGTTTGTGTTGAGTCAGCTCAGTTGCAGTGCTCAGATTGCTCATTCATTTCGACTGGTACGAAAACCTTGAATAAAAAACTATCGCAGTATGCAAGCACAGTCACTTCAAGGGCAAGTGCAGGCTCCGACTCTGACTTATCTTCAATGGTTACAGTACTTGCCAAGCCGCCCTTGAAGCAAATTGACCCATCAAATGCCTATAAGCCATCTTCATTCATCTTCCATGCCCTTTTCGGCCCTTTTCTCCCGATCAAAGCGGCGTTTGACCAATTGGAGGATCGAATAGGATCAACTTATTTCACTTCGGATCGGGCAGGACTTCTGTTGGCCTGGGATTGGTGTGAAAACCTCTATCAGGGGTGCTTTGCCCCAATTTGATGGTGCCATGCTCAATTGGACGCCAACATTCTCACCTCAGGCACCAACTCTAGGCTGACTTGGCTGCAAGAGCATGGCAAGAGCATGCAACTCTGGGAAAACAACTCAGCAGCACAGCAATGCCCTTGCTTTATCGCATTTTGCCCTCTCCGGTCCATTGCCGACCTCTATATACGTTCTTTCTCAAAGAACCACCCAAATGGCAAGGTCGGCTTTGCGCCGATCTGGAACAAGACCACGGTCAAAGCTGCAAGAATTCGGAGCAGAACCTCGCTGTGTCTCCGCGCCTTGGTCTGAAAGAAAACAAACAACTGCTAAAATCAAGAAAGTTTGTTACTAGTAGTAATGGCCTCCAACCTACTAGAGCTGGCCTCCCACCTAAAAGCGACCTGAGAAGGGAGGGGACGAAAACCAGCCTCCGTAACATTGTTGTTATGGGGTGCAGTCGACATTGCACTGACCTCTACTGCTGTTAGGCACGGGGAAATAGAAGGCAGAGAGGCGCAAAGTCTTGCATTGAGGGTCGATATGATAGTTTCCTTATGTACAAGGCCTTGATCAAGGCCCATTCACTGTTAGTGGTTATAAGATAGAAGTGGAGCCCATGCGTTAGGACACAGGTTAAACTGAACAGGACGTTCACAGTTCGGCGGGGGTGCCCTTTTTCTCTTGGTTCAAGGCCGCTTTCACGCTGAACTGGGGCACCTAAGACTCTGTATTCTGTATTCTGTTTGCCTCTCCTGTCTTGCACCTGCACTCACAAACCTGGTGAGCTTGGCTCAGTGTCTTGTATGAAAATGCATAGTATTTGTAAAGATGAAGCCTGGAAATGTGCTGCAGAGTTGTGAAACGCTGTTTCTATCAGCGTTTAGAGCTTAGAGGGTTCTTGCTGTTCATAAGAGTGGACCGATGAAAGTTTAGTGCCGAAAGAATTTGCAGTATAGTTCCCACCCCTTTTTATGAGTAAGGTCTTGTTGTCATAGAGTGAAGTTGAATTTGCAATTGTTTCGAGTTTTATTCCACGGGGAATCAGAAGGCTGAGAGACGCAGAGCTTCGCATTGAGCCTCGATGTGATAGAGCCGATATACACAACGCCTGGATCAACTCCCATCCACCATTACTGGTCATATAGGATAGGCTTCGATCCGCACAATCCGGCCCCCTTGGACACGTACAGACACGACATCATTGAACGTATCCAAAACTCGCAACGCCTCCGTGAAGTCCTAGACAAGTGAAGTCTGACGCATTGGCAGTATAGAGATCCGAAGACTTAGAGACACAGAGTTTCGCATTGAGGCTCGATATGTTAGAGCCTATATACACAACGCCTGGGTCAACTCCCGCCACTACCTGTAGTAGGATAGACTGCAATTCGTGCAACAGCCCGACTCCCTTAGTCTAATCTAGCCCAGAGGGGTGCTCTTTTTTATCCGGCTAACAGCCCTTTAGCACCAAGAAAGGGGCACTCCCAAGCAACTCAAAGGTTGCTCACTGCATTGTGTTCCCTCTCCTGTCCTCTATATACCTGCAGTCTTCAATCTAGCGAGCCCCCCTCAATATGGGGCGAAGATGCAGCTGCAAAATGAAAACAGATTCCGGCTTGCACAAGTCTCGCCGCTCTGTCCTCTGACTGGACAGCCCTGCGACCACCCCCCCCACACCCCCTATACTCACTTCTTTCGCCCATCAACAACTCCAGCCTAGCCTATCGGCTGGCTTTCGTAAGTTCATAACTATATTTGTGTTTTTTTCTGTAAATATATATATATATAGTAAATAGAGATTAGATTTGTTAGATTGGTATGTTTGTATACTTGTATGGCCTCTGGCTGGCCATCTTGGCACAGTTTCACACATCTACCTCTCTTGTGTTTGCTCAAATAGGAGAATGCCAATCTACAAACCATGAAGTGTAAGCAGATGTAAGCAGCACTCACTTTCACAGCAACTGCCAGCACTTCAGTGCCAAAGCACGATCATCTTCTCCTTCCTTGAGCTTCCTTGAGCTTCCTCCAGTCTCCTCTGTGGTCCTTCGCTGGCAAGTCCAAGACAAGAAGTTGTGAACGAAAAAACTGCGAAGAAGAAACAACAAAACAAACACAAAATAACACATTAGCGGAGTTTGTTGTGTCCAAAACAACAAAACTCTTCTCTCAGCGGACCTTGTCAACTGAAACCGTCGGCGAAGAACATCACGTCAAATCAGCGGAGTTCTCCAGACACCTGGGCACAAGTGAACGGGAACGAACGACGTTTACTTTTTTTCTTTGGGGGAGTTAGGCCGCTAGTAGAGGTAGGTAGTAGCTAGGTAGGTAGCTAGGTAGCTACTACTTGCAAGAAGCTACTACAGCAAAAAACTGGACGCAGGATAGCTCACGCTGTTCATTTAGTTCCTAGATGTTTAGGGAAACCTAAGGATCCGAAGCTTGCATGAAGCTGTGCAGTTGTAGCTCCAAAAGAAAGAAAATTACATCAATAGGCTAGCTTGAACACTCCACACTCCAACAATATCCATCAATCTCGCCTCGCTACCACCTCGTCCCAGGCATCTCCCCGGTTGCGTTGAAGCCCTTCCGAAGTCATCGGGACATAGAGGACACCTGGGCAACACGCGACCGGAGAAGTGTCGAGAAGCAAAGTGGAGAATATCCTCGGTCCAAAAGGCGCTTACATGCCCTTGCATGCTCTTACTGCCAACTGTTGTAAACTCTTACCTTGGCAGCAGCTTCATCAGAGTCCATATTAAGGATCAAGCGCAGGTGCTGCGTCACCTCGTATCTCCCATCCTCGAGCATATCGATGCTGCAAAGCCTGACAGCCCTGTCGAAAAGGTGTCGTGTTTGTTTCTCCACCCAATCACCCATCTTGAGCTCTTTCTTGGTCTCTTTCTATTGATCCATATATGTGTGCTTAACTTCCTTCCGTCCTTCCGTTCTTTCTCTTGCTCTTCCTGGATTCTTTATGTCATGTTGTATGCACACTCGCCTAGTTACTTTCCAATGGATTCTACAAACACTTTCTATGTCACAGGTTTGCACCATCTTGTAATCTCCTCATTGGTCCTGTGTCACAAGTTACTGACAAACTCTATTGGACAAGGTGCCATTGGGGTGCATCCGTGGGTCCGAGTGGAGCTACTGCACGGCCATTGGGCTTCAAGAGTTTTAAAAGCCAGTCCTCAAATTGGGTAACGACGAAGAAAGGCGAACAAATCTTCGTTTCCGGGGAATGTATGAACCTCCACTTGTTAATGGCTGCAATGCATTTCTAGCATGAGGTGTTCTACTTCGTTATTTAATGTGCTTATGTTTTGTGTTTCTATATGTTGTCCATATCTCTTGCAGTTTCCTCATATTCTCGCTGAGTTTTCGACATCCACCTGGCTCAATGCTGCACCGCAGTGTATGAGGTCGAAGGGTTCTGCCTATTTGCAAACAAATGGAGACATGACCTAGTTGAAGGCCATCGCTCGTAGGTTGGAGGCCATCGATCCTAGGTTGGAGGCCCCATCGCTAGTAGGTAGTATGATTGATGGAAGACTTTGCATCACCTTGAGGCTGAGAGCATCTTCACAAAGGATCTCCAAGCTGCTCGGCATCTCAGGGAAAACATGGGCCACAATCATCGGAATATACAAGTGTCCGCGTCCATTGATTGGTCAATTTACCAGGGTCCCAGGCCAAGTCTGCGTGGTGCTTGGCCACATTCTGCTTGGCTTCTTCCACTAGCTCCTGCAAATCATTACAAATCACTCCACTCCCTTTCTTCTCTATGTGGTGTGCCTTTTCAATCTCTTTAGACCTTGAGACCTTTCTTTTCTCCTTCTCTCTTTCTTCCATCCTTTCTTATCCAAACAAAACAGCAAAAGCAAAAGGCACAGTCGACTGCTTGCAAGTCTTCATCTCCCAACAACCATCCAAAAAGCTCCAAAACTGCGAGTTCATCGCAGGGAAGACAGTTCCAGGTGCTTTTTCTCGGCCTGGATATGCTCCAAGGCCACCACTCGTCCTCGGCCCTGCAAGAGCCGGGCCAGCCTCGTCTGGCAGGGGTGACACGAGGAGGGCCGACCCACACGGACGACGGGCCAACCCACTGGGCTTCCCCACAGTGTGGCCATACAGCCACTGCCGCTTCCAAGGTCCAAGACTCGCAGCCTCAGCTTCTAGCTACAAGTAGCTTCTTGTTACTAGTAGTAAGGCCAGGAGCCCCTAGTAGATTCTAGTAGCGTCCTTGCTCCTAGCAGCGATGCCAGGAGCCCCTAGTAGCTTCTTGCTACTAGTAGCAAACTAGCTATTAGTATGGCCAGGAGCTACTAGTAGCGTCCTTGCTCCTAGTAGCAATGCCCTTTGTTACTAGTAGCTTCTGTGAACTTTTGCTATTGGTTTTTGAGTGCTTGCTGTTTCTCTTGAGTACTAGACCTTTCTGTTTCGTGACGTCCGTGTGATTAACTGAAACACTCCTGTGTCCACTTCGTTCTGCTGCCAGGCGCAGCACGCCGCAGCACGCCGTGCTAAACGGTCCAAGGAGCGGACCCTTCGCCCATGGCAGATACTTTCTCCTTCGTTGATCTGCATCGAGCGAGCGGAGCGGGACGTGTGGCGGACCGGAAACGGAAAAAGATAGCGATGGCCTCCAACCGACTTTCCATCCCTAGCGAAGAACGCTACTAGTAACAGGTGCATCGCTAGTAGTAACAAGTGCCCTACTAGTAGTAACAAAAAGCTATTAGAATTAAATTAGAATTAAATTACTTCATGCTCCTAGTAGCGATGCCAGGTGCCCCTAGTAGCTTCTTGTTCGTCCTGAATCAACTCCAGTGCAGCACAGTGCACATGCGGAGCCGACACCTCACAGGGGAGCAGAAGGTGCAGGTGACGAAAATGTCGGGCTGCTTCTTGCCAATTCAGTATGGGCATTTACTCATGTTTGCTGAGATTTGAGAGTTGCGAGTTGTGTGTTTGAATCAACTCCCAGCCACCCAGGCAAACGCATATTCCCACCGACATCGCTGAATCACCTGTGCACCAAAGCCCATCACAGCAGCTGCATCCAAATAGGGATCTGAATCACCTGCAAAGTTCAGAGCATCTTTGTGAGTCACAAAGATTTCTAGACATAACCAAAAACATGGCATGAGAACACCTCACATATGCATGCTGTTTTGAACGCTCCCATTCTGTTTTGCGTTGCAAAGCAAGGAGCAGCCGCACCTAGGATAAAATCTCCCCGGTCGACACTCGCATAGGCGGCAATCGCCTCCGGGCTGTGAAGCAAGCCGTGTTCCTTGAGGCGCAGACAAAGCTCCTTGAAAGCACGATCGGAGCTTGACAATCGGAGTTTCATCCTGGGGTCCTAGATGCTATGGATGTGTTCAAGACTGGGCACATTCCAGCGAAGAAACGATTGTGGCCTTGGATCTTTGGAAACTTTCGACACCTATTTTCTGCACAGGCTTCGCAGATTCTCTGGTTTCATGGCTTAGTTCTGCAGATCTACCACTGCAAATCGCCTTCAGAACATCACAGATTGAATGCTCGCGCAAGGTGAAACAAACAAAACGATGGAATCACAGCCATACTCAAAGGTTGTGCATCAGACGCCGTTGCTGAGATGGTTGTTGACAATGGGGTCGTAGGATTGCAGCTGTCTGAGGAACACTCTTCACAAGCAAAACCATAATTTCCTGCGCTTGGATCCATGGCATTATAAGTGGCTTGCAGAGTCGCACAGTCTTTAGAGCCATTTTGCACGCAACCAGCAGTCACAAAGATCACATCACAAACACCGTTGGGTGTTATCCCTTGCTTCATTGATTCTGTATAGCAATTGCCTGAGCACTGAACTGCTGTGAAGGCCTCTGAGCCACTCATGGTTCCGCAATCGCTGCCAGTGTAATTGGTGCTTGAACCGGAGTTGCAGGTCACACCCCATGCGCCAGAAGCCCTTGAAAACATGAGGAGTCCAGAAAGCAAGCCTGTCATCTGCCTACTGCACAAGTAGCGCTCAACTAGGCTGCCTTTGAGAAAGCGTGGCTGCAAGTGAAAGCACACTGTCACAAGGAAACATTTAATCTGAGTGTACCTTCCAACCCTACATCTATATATTTTTTAAAGTAATATGTTTAATTACAAGTAGATTGTGGTCAAGACGTTCCATTGAGGTATACTGTTCTAACTACCCAGTCCTCATGGCTTTCGGCTGAACTCAGCAATACTCCGCAGAAGCGGCATCGCGCCTAAGTCAGAAGTAGTTGGATAGGGCCCAGTTTTTTCATGCCAGCACCTAGGTCACCTCTTTGATTAAGTGGTGATCTGCGAGTGTCTCTCTGGACTGGCATGGAACATCAGGCAGCAAGTCAATGGAGATTGGCAATCAATGATTTTGCATACTTTGACGTTCTATGAGTGAGCTTCTATTCCAAAGAGAAAAGATCAGTGAAAATTGATATCATTTGTTGGAATCAGAATGAACAATGTGTGTGTGTCACGTATCATCTTCAACCCTGCCAGCTCACCACTTCGCTTGCGGATGGCGGCCGCGCACCCATGGTTCGGAGAGACGCTGAATTGGAGGCTAAGCCAGGCTGTGCTGCAATGGATCGATGGCGGCTTCTGACACAAACGCATTCGTTCAGACTTCTACAAGCCGTATGGCTGCGACAGACGACGAAGCCACAAAACATTGACCGATGCGCAAGAAAGGCAAAAAGCCAGAACTTCACCTAATGTGTAAGTCCAGAGAGGCAAAATTCCAGAAGTGTGGGATGGTTGTGCAGCATGGCTGCCAGAACACCCGCATGGCCTTGTTGCGCAACATGTCATTCTCTTGTTGCATGGCCTTGGCTGCCGCTGGTGGCTGTAGGAAGCACCATAGCCCCTCTTGTCTCGTGCTTGTGCTCTGCCTGCAAGCGTCGCCTGAAGTCTTCGGCCTGCCATGCCCGTCTGCCCGTCTTGTCTCAGACATTTGGTATGCGACTCGGAAAAGAGCTTGAGATGGTCTTTGTGTGTTTTTTGGAGACGGCTTGTTGCTGTTCTATTGACATGAGAAGCTTTCTTTGTGAAGAATTCTAGACCTGAGGCCTGGTAGATAGACCTGGGTGCTTTTCTTCTGAAAGAAAGAAATGTAGCGACGTGTCCGAAAACAAACTGCAAATGCCAACTTCAATGGCTCTTCATTGCCTACCCCGTGCTCCTACCCATCAAACAAATTAGAAAGTGCATGCGGCTTCTTCTTCTTCTTCTTATTCTTCTTCTTGTTCTTCTTCGCGCCACAACGAACCGGTTTCTCCAACGGAGGTGCACTGCGTACCATGAAGGCAGAACCGGTCTCCGACGGAGGTGCGCTGTACTGCGCTGCTCCCTTGGAACGAACTCCCTGTCCGGCGATCGACGCCATCCACTCCGAAAACCGCCGAAATGCTGAGGCATTGGCCAACTGGTGGGGGCTAGACACCCCAGACCTCTCACTGCCGTTCACTGCCGTTCACTGCTGCACCGTTCACTCATGTTTCTGATTTCTCGTGTTTGACCTGTCTCCGCTGACTACACGTGTGGTGCAAAGTGTGATGCTTGGTGCCCCGGTCATTGGCGTCTGCCGCCCAGAAGCATAGAGACTCCTTGGTAGAAACGAACAGTGTCACATCCGACACGTACCTGACACCACGTAACACGACGTGACACGTACGCGACAAGCGCGTGGGAGCGTTGACTGACAAGAATTCCCAAACTGGGATCGTGACCCTCTGTGGCTGTATGAGGATGGTACCGACCTGAAGCTGGGCTCAGTGACAGGATCCGCACTAGATACAACCACACGAGGATCCGGCCGTGGGCCAGCAGCCATTGTCTGGGCCAGAACCAAAGCTCGAAATATTGAAGCCACTAATGTCGCTGATATCTACCACATTGACACCCCTTTGACGTCACCCCTTGAATGAATGTGTCGTGGTGGCTGCCAACAAATCCAAACCAACTGATTTGCTATGCCTGATTCGCTCGCTGTAGCTCATGGACCTGACCAAGCTCAAACCAGTTTTCAGCCGCTTTGGTTCAGAACAATGTAAAAAAACAACTTTGTGCAATTAATACAGCAAAAAGTGGTTTATAGTCCGAGTCCAATACAAGAAGTATATAATATGAGTAGCAGTAGCAGTAGCAGCATGAGTATGAGCAGGAGCAGGAGCAGCAGCAGCAGCAGCAGGAGGAGGAGTAGGAGTAGGAGTAGGAGTAGGAGTAGGACTAGGAGTAGGAGTAGGAGTAGGAGCAGTAGCAGTAGCAGTAGCAGTAGCAGCAGCAGTAGGAGTAGTAGTAGTAGTAGTAGTGGTAGTAGCAGTAGTAATAATAGTAGTAGTCGTAGTCGTAGTCGTGGTAGTTATGGTCATAAGAATATTCTGGGTATCTCCACCGGTTATGTAGCACTGTGGTGCCTGACCCTGACACGACATTGTGACATCACATTCCCAAACGCTGTGTTCCGTGTCCTTTTGGCTTACTTGGGGCTGGTTGAAGATTTTAGTTCAGTTCAAGTTTTATTTAGGACGGATTGGTCCAAGGTTGATTTGGGGTTGGTTTGTGGTTTATGTTGGGTTGGTTTAAGGTTTATGTAGGTGTTGTTTAAGATTTGTTAAATTTGGGTGAGGGGTTGTTCAAGCGTTGGTTGATGGTCTTTAAAGGGGTGGTTTAGGGTTCATAAAAGTTGGTTTCATGTATATTTATTACAGTCTTAAATCCACTGGGGCCGGAGGCCGTTTCAATTGAACAGTTTGAGAGTGCGGGGGGCAATTCGTCTTCAGGGGGTAAGTCGTCTGTGGGGAAGTCGTCTTCGGAATTCGTGCTGGTGTCTTCGGGTGGAATGGTCCTCTAAAAGAATTCGTCTTCGTCTGCGGTGGAAATGTGCCAAAATGCCCCGCCCCCCCACAGCGGCCACAATGGTAATTGATCCTTCTGGTGGTGCTGCTCTTGCGCAAAGCGCATATGAATCATGTAAGGCCCTCGAAAAGCAACAGGCACAGGCATGGCCGCCTGTTGTTGCAAGCTCTGGTATTGGGACAGGCTCACCCGTGGTCCTTGGACCAAACGCTCGCTCGAGTGAAGGGCACGGCCGTGCGACCAGCGCGTGCTCCGCAGCTTGCCGAGGTCCCCACCTCGCTGGACCTCGCAACGAGCAGCGAGTGGATGTGTTAAACTTGTCCACTTAAATAAAGGACGAGTTAGCGTCCAGTAACTGGACGCAGGATACCTTACACACTATGCATTTGGCTCCTGGAATGTTAGGGAACCAAATCTGTTTTCTTCGCAAAACATACGAAGAAGATGGCATGTGTTGAACTCGCTTCACTCCTCCATGCTGCCAGGCTTGTGCCAGGCCCAGGCTTTCGCCAGGATTCAGAATGGAAGTCATTCCCCGCCAGATGAAAGCAGAACCCTTCTTCAAATGAGACGGAATGGAAGGCCGAGACACTCTGACAGCACACCTCTTAAGAAGCCTTCTTGTGAGTACGGATGAGAAAAGAAAGTGTTGTTTCTACAGAGCCCTAGGTGTCCTGAGGTCCAAGAACTAATTCTCAAAGAGCTACGGCTTGTTGCCAAAACCGTTCTTGTCTTTGATAAGATGCTTGTTAAAAAAACTTCTTCATAAACCTGATCTTTCTGAGAAGGCCCCCGCCTGTGGCCCTGCCCGAAGCTGTGCATTCTCGCGCTGGCCAGGGAAATCAATTCGATAGAGGCGCTCCACCCAACTGACATGCCACTGTCTTCACATTAGGGCATTGCAGTTTCTCAACATTTCGACTTATGCAAACTGCAAGTTACAAACAAGGTGCAAAGTTACAGTTGTGTGATTGTTTGTCTGATTGTTTGTGTATGTGTGCGTGGGAGAGAGGAGACACTAAAAGTCACTAAAGTCCAAAGGACTGTATGAGGAGTCTTATTCTGCTCATATAGGCTCAAACCGAAACCAGTAGGAGGCCATCGCTAGTAGGTTGGAGGCCGTCGCTAGTAGGTTGGAGGCATCGCTAGTAGGTTTCAGGCCATCGCTATTAGGTTGGGGTTGGAGGCAGTCGCTAGTAGGTTGGAGGCCATTGCTACTAGGTTGGAGGCTTCCGCTATTAGGTTGGAGGCCATCGCTAGTAGGTTGAAGGCCATCGCTAGTAGGTTGAAGGCCATCGCCAGTAGGTTGGAGGCCATTGCTGTTAGGTTGGAGGCCATTGCTACTAGGTTGGAGGCCATCGCTGGTAGGTCGGAGGCCATTGCTATTATGTTGGAGGCCATTGCTATTATTTTGGAGGCCATGGCCGGAACTCTTCGACTTGATGCTTCCCACCTGCAGCTGCGACAAAATGTGTTGAAGATGGCGTGTCTCTTCACCGGGCAGTTTGCTCTCGCTTACGTGAGCCTTGCTCGGCCAATTGAGAGTCGACAAACAAATTCAGCTGAATGCCGCAGGGTTAATGGGATTGCAACAGTGTGAACAGTCACCTCTTTGTCCAATCCTTTCCATACCTTCTGCATTCTCAGAGTCAGAGTGCTCTTCCGATAACCTGCATGAATTCTGACGGACCTGCATCCGACTGTGCCCACGATGTCTCTCGCCCCCCACCTCTCAAGTCCAGCATCGCAACATGCACTGAGAACGAAGTCGTTGCGAATGAAATGTGAATATCAAGCGTATAGACAAATGTAAAGGTGAGAATCCAACAAATTACATGTCTTTCTCTCAAGAATCCACAATAGTAACAAGGGAATCGCTACTAGTAACAAGGGCATTACTACTAGTAGCTTCTAGCTACTAGTAGTAAGGCCAGGAGCCCCTAGTAGCGTCCTTGCTCCTAGTAGCGATGCCCTTTGCTACTAGTAGCTTCTAGCTACCAGTAGCACAAGAATCAAGATGAAGCCGCACATTGTTTTTGCACCAAGGCCCCATGGCCGCCCCGTGGCCCCCTTGGGGCCTTCAATTCATGACGCATCTGCTGGAGATGCCGATTGAGTCGTTGGTTTTCCTCAAGCTAATGCAAAACTTGAACACAAACCTCAAAGGTCATGTAATTTCAAACTATTTTCCAAGTGTATTGACTGTATCTGCAAGGTACAAAATGCTTGAATAGCTATTTGTTTGAAAAGAACACTCCAGTCCTTCCTGGCTTCATCCACTTCAATTAGGAGGTCCTTCAAATTGGGTTAGCAGGGGTAGTTTTCCAGGCGTTTTACGTTCAGATCATGTGCCTCCAGGACGTGTCTCTCAAACTGACAGTTGATCCTATGTCCTTCAGAGTCCAACACCTGTGCTCTTGTCCTACTCACTTGCTAAACGTCCATACTGTCGTTGAACCAGCCAAATCATTTACTGCCACCCTAAGAGCAGCTGTTTCTGTCACACTATTTGTTGTGTGACTTTGATTCTTTCGAAGAACGTCAAAAACCGCAGAGCATCTTCCTCAAGCCGCCGGGAGCCGGCGCCGGCAGAGGCCTCGCAAGGTGTACATCCAACGGGTCATCTTCCGCTAGTGCCCTACATATACTGGATGTTCCTAAAAATCTAGGAACCAAATGAATAGTGCCTGTGTCCTACGAGCTAACTTAGTCCTTACTTAACTCACAAGGCGCCTACTTAATTTAGTAAAGGGGCAGAGCGGCCAATTTAACAGAAAAGAAAGGATATACATCCTGCCTGTGACAAGGACTCACAACATGCGCGGATCGCGCTTGTTCCCATGGCCTGGTAAAAATGGCAGGATCCACTCAACCCACTCAACCCACTCCTCCGAAAAGCATGTTTGATTTACAATTTAAGTCAAGAAAACAAAAACACGATATTCCAAAATGTTGGAAACCGGCTCTGCAAATTGACCTTATCTTCTGTGTCTCAAATCAAAAACCCAAGGACTGGATCGAGGTCAAACAGTTGGTGAAGTAGCGTGCTTGAAATTACAAAATGCTTTCGAAACAACCTTTTCGGGAATAAGTCGCACCATCAGTCGGAAGAAATCAACCTAAGCCCTGCCTGGCAGCTAAAGGGCAAAAGAGGGGATCCAAGAGGAAGTGCCTAATCATATCAAACTTATATAACTGGTCTTGCTTAAGCTTAAGACGATTGCTTTTGAATGAGAATCGTGCTGACAGTCAAGCTTGAGCTTGAGCCAACTTCTCACGCACGCTACAGGCTAACTCTTAAGCATAACCGCATAGCCAGACCTAAAGTATAACCCTGAAAGGCAAGCAAAAGCACGCATCTTGTTCTTTGGCTTTGATTCGGCTTTTCGTTGCTCTCCAATGCTTTCGTTGCCGTTCTTGCAGCATAGGTGCTACCTTTAAAGTGCTGTGTTTGGCAGGTTTACTTGTTGATTCACCATCAAAGGTAGCTTGAGTCTACTTCATCAAGCCAAACGCGCAGGACGATCCAATATCTGCTATACCATGCTATACCCAAGACTCCAGTTCCCCTGTGCGTGGACCTTTTGTCCTCCCAGTCAAATTCGTGGAGTGTGTTCGGTTGGAAGTCGCTGATCTTCCATCAGCCTGGGCTACAGAAAGCGCAGGAGAAATGTTACATTCGTAGCAAGAATGCTACTAGTAGCGATGCCAGGAGCCCCTAGTAGCGTCCCTTGTTACTAGTAGCAAGAATGCTAGTAGTAGTAATGCCAGTAGCTTCTTCTTCCAAGTAGCGATGCCCTTTGCTCCTAGTAGCTTCTTGTTACTAGGAACAAAGCACACCATGTATATACAGGGTGTGCAATTCCCGTGTCACCCCGAGCATGTCTCAAATCCACTGTTGCCTCGTTCTCTACCCGCTCAGCACGGCTCGCTCTCCGCACGCTCCGCTCCAAGCTCCGCTCCGCTTGTAGCTGCCATTCAGCTCCAGGAGTTCAGCATGGCCTCCACGTTCCAAGATTCGGCCTCACTCAATCTGACCATCGGGGCAATGGCGTCAGATCAGCAACTGTGGCAAACAGTTTTTGGACACAAATAGGCGAAGAGGCGATCATTTGGAAAGGAGTATGACTCGCTATGAAGGATAATTCCCTAGTGTTCACCAGGTGAACTCTATGAAGTCTTTGGAGTTCGAGATCAAGTCTTTTCACTATCCGAAATGCTCCTGGCCGGCATGAAATCCACTCAGGTTGTATGCCGCAAGTCAAGAGCATCAAACAAAAACCGAGAGGGCGTACTATAGCTCGACCCCAGCACCCAAACTTCCCAAAAGCAGAGGTGCTATATAGAGATAGATATTCACGTTGCAGTGGATTCCAAATAGTTACTATGCTTCTAGGGCGGAGGCCATCGCTAGTAGGTTGGAGGCCATCGCTTCTAGGGTGGAGGCCATCGCTATTAGGTTCCTACTCCGATAGACCATGATTCGCAAATGTGGGCCTCCATCCATGACCACAATCTGATCCGCGCTCTGCACAGCACCCAATCGCAGGTCGTGCGCCACAATCTGGGCAAAATGTATATTATTTTGCAAACCCGTTCGATACATGTCAAATAATTCGATCAAATCGATTGAGGTCCCCAAACTGGGAGTGCCAAAATTGATGTCAAAACGAGTCGAAACACTCTGCGTTTCTGCATCAAAAACTGCAGTTGTTGTTTTCGATCTAGAAACAAGAAGCTACTAGGTGGAGGCCATCGCTATTATTGGGTTAGAGGCCATTACTACTAGGAACAAGAAGCTACTAGTCAATCTCTGAGCTGTAAGTCTCTGGCAATCATTGTCCGTGGGCACTTCCTGCTCTCTGACCACTTTGCCTGGACAACCCTAATCCCATGGGTGGGTGGGTGGGTGGGTGGGTGAGTCACGGAGTCTTATCGTTCTTGATGGCATTGTCGGACTATCGTGAATTCGGAACTTCTAAGGATTCATAGATTTCTTGCAGCCAAGGGCATCGCTACTAGTAGCAAGGGCACCGCTACTAATTGTTCCACTTTCTTCCATCGACTTGGTCCCTTTGACCACTTTGTGAGCACCTGCTCCAGAGCTTGAGACACCAATGCGCTGGACTTGGGGTCAAGTGCTGAGGTTGGCTCGTCAAGGAGCAAAACCTCAAACATAAAAGTTTGCACTTACAAATGGATTTCCAGATCCAAGGCGTTCTAGAAGGATGTGTGTATAAACTACACCAGCATAGACCCACATAGCTAGGCAGAATCCTACGACCTGTTGACATGCGACTGGCTGGAACAAGAATGTACACAGCCTGCACAGCCAGCTTAAGGCACCTCACCGTCTTAAACGCGCGCTCAGCCAGCTCACAGCACCAGCACCCAGGACCACAACACCAGCACCAGCACCGACACCATGAACTTATGCACGCAACATCTTACGGTGTTGTCGCTTGAGCGTTCTTTGTCTATTAGCGCTGTGGGGTATTTACACTCTTCAGGTTCTGTTTTGGCCGGCAGCTGTGTCAAGGGCTGTACTGTTTGCGCGCATACTTTTCTACGTGCAGTGTTCTATGCGCAAGGTCAGGCTCTCAACCAACCATTGTTCCAGCGTGTGTCAGCATGCTACACACACACAATAGTCGTGTTGGATGCTGCTTGGCCTTGGATGAGTGAAGCCTACGGGCTTTGCCGTTTGTGCGCATACTTTTGTGCGCAAAAACTTATACGCGCAAGGTCATGCGGCCTTATCGTCCTGCCGATCGTTGCTTCAAGCATGCTACAAAGTCAATAGTGGTGCTGGATACTGCTTGGCCTTGGGCCAATGACACTTACGGGCCTTGCTGTTTGCGCGCATACGTTTGTGCGCACAAATTTATAAGCGCAAGATCATACGGTCATATGTTATTATTATTCCCCAAATAGGGATAGCTATGGGGTTCTTGCTGCAAATAAGAATCGCCCTTCACTGCTGCAAGCGGCGGATTGTTACCCTTCACTGTCAGAGCACCAGCAACTTGTCTCCACCACGTGCACAGCCAGATCACAGCACCAGCACCGGCTGGCCACCACCAGCACCCGCACCCGGCACCGGGCACCAGCACCAGCCAGCTCACAGCGCCAGCACCGGCACCCGGCACCAGCACCAGCGCCAGCAACCTGCCTCCACATACCCTCAACTACTTGGTGGGACCCTCGATGGTTGCTTTGTAGACCCCAACACGTGGGGTCGATCATCTTATTCACTAGGCCTTGCAGCCGATCGCGCTTAAGTCCTAGACCCTCAGACCGGGGAATTCTGGAGGGGGTCTGAAATCATTTTCCCCCACTAAGGGAAAACCAATCTAGACCTTGTCATGTGACGTCATGTCGAGCTGATTTAAAAAGTTAATCATGAAATTCTGACTCCCGTTCAAAGGTCTACAATGATCAAGCGAAAAGGTCAATGGTAGTGGGACCCATCTTAGACCCCAACCAGTCTATCCCTCGAGGGTCTCCCATTCTAGACCCTACTAGCTGAGGGTATGCCTCCACCACGTGCACAGCCAGCTCACAGCACCAGCACCAGCGCCGGCACCCACCACCAGCAACCTGCCTCAAAAGCGCGCACGGGCAACTCACTGTTATTTGAAGTAAGAACCCCATAGCTTCGCAATCTGCGGAAAAACGAAAAGAAAGAAAACAAGAAAGAAAGGTGCTTGAGCCCCCTAATAAGGCTCCCATAATTGAAGGGTCCCAATTTTTTTGATGTTCTCTTCCGTGTTTTCTTGGCTGATTCATGTGTCTTCTGAATGAAGACTGTTGAACTGGGATTCCCACAGCAGGATCCCGGAAGAGGGCTCGGGCCAAAGCGATACGTTGTCGCTGGCCTGCCAAGAGCCAACTTTAAGCTGGCTTCATGAACAGGCCATGTGTGACCATCAGCTCCCTCAGCATCTCGCAAAAGGGGAAAGGTCTTCCCTTGCTACTAACAGCTTCCTGTTACTAGAAGTAATGGCCTCCAACCGAATAGCCTCCGCCTAGTAGCTTCAAACATGGCCGGGTGGCCATGGCCGTGGCCGGATTGGCGTGGCCGTGGCCGGATGGCCATGGACGTGGTCGGATGGCTGCGTGGCCGGATATGTCCGCGTGGCCGTGGCCGTGGCCGTGGCCGGACGGTCGTGACCTACTGGCTGTATGGCCGGAAGGTCGTGGCTAGAACCCACCATAGCTTCTATGGTGGTTGCTGGAGCAGGAAGAGCAAGACGAGTTTGCATACACGCGGGCGCAGTGTAATCGATCCATGTGCTCAAACAGGATGACAGGGATGAAGTTCTTTTTCAAAAGTTTGCATTCTGCATCAGAAGTGGCAGCTGCGCAGAGAAGCAAAATAAGCTTGCGTTTACTACTAGATAGCTGATGATCTATGTCACTGCAAGCAGTGAGTCCTTAACAGAGACACGCTCTACGGTGAGTGGTTGCTTCCTGGCGGGTCTTTGCGTTACTTTGCGATGCAGATTCAGAGATGTAGCGTATTTCGCGTGATTCCAGACGCTGTGTAAACTTACTCTTTGAGTATATATCCTTTTGGAATGTGAAGCGTCCCTATGTTGCGGAGTTTTGTAGACTGGCAACGAGCTATCGCTGCGCGGGGCGGTAAGTCACAGTGTACTGACACATGATCTAGCTTCAGTGAAGTGGAAAATGTGTTACTGAGAAGAACTTTTCCACATCGAGGGTAGCTGGCTGAAGTTTCTGCGCTAGCAAACTCGAATGGCACGGCTTGGCGTGCCTTGCGTGGCAAACTCACAGCGCGCATTGCGCTGGAAATGGCTGTCGCATATCTGGAGCTAATTAAACATCGCTCTGCTGCACGACCACAGAAGGGTCGTCATTTGCGGCTGCACCCCGTGCGACCAGAAAATGCCTCCAGCGTGTAGATGCATCGGATGTTCTGTGTGTTTTTGAAATCTTTGATGCTTGTTTGCGGCAAAGGAAGCTTTGACTTACTCAGTCGTGAGGTCCGCTGCAAATGTGGCTCGCGACGAGTTTGGCCCTCAGTCACCTTCCACGTGTACCCATACCCGTCGGTTTATATACAACCACGGGCTTCGCCGTCTGGCGCGTGTGGAACAAGTTCAACAAGAAGCTACGCAAAAATTTTAAGCGGGATTGCAGACCGTGACTTTGGGGACGATGTTCTGGAAGCTTTTGCCACCATGACCGCAAGCAATGTCTACGCGAAAGTTTTTCTTCGCTTTTTGCACCATCAAGGCACGTGGAAATTCAACTTCTATCCTGCGCAACACAAGTGCGACCACGGTGACGCAATCACGATTCTGCAGTTATACATTCCACGGCGTTCAAGCAGCGATGATCATGACTGAAACCTACGTGGACAGAGATGATCATGATGACAGCAGCAGCGGCAACGGCGTAGCGAGCTTTCAAGCAGTAGTAGCGATGATCGTGATTTACCCCTCGCACGCATAGTATGCGAAGTGAGTGGAGAAAAACAAGAGCTTCTCAGATTCTTTCTTTCGCCCCCCTACTGATCACATTCATCCTCCTCATGACATTGTTTCCTCACCTGCTGTGCTTTCGGGCCACCCTGTCGCCTAGTGTCTGCTGCATCTTCTGCTTATGACTCTGCTGGTTTTTCTTCCGTTGCTGCTGCTGCTGTTCTTTTTGTGTGGCTTCTTCTTCTTCTTCGTCTTCTTCTTCTTCTTCTACCTTTGCTCCTTCTTGAGTTCGGTATTCGGCCCCGGATGGCAGTGGCCGGCTCACTGCAGTGGCCGGCTGGGCGTGGCCGGCGGGCCGTGGCAGGCTGGCTGTGGCCGGCTGGCCGTGGCCGGCTGGCCGGAAACAAAAAAACTCTATATTGTGGACTTGCCTCCGGACAGAAGCTTCTCGTCGGAGCAAATCGTGTCAAAGCCCTGATTGCAGCGTAAGAATGCGTCTCAAACATGCTGTTCATTGTGATGAGGTGTTGATGCTATGCTGATGGCAATTCCACCTCAGGCAACTCCGCGATGAACTCCGCTGCCATGGCAGCCTGGAATAGAAAGAATAGCTAGTGACAAAAGCTTGCAACTACCCAGTGAGTAGCATCATCCTGCTTCAGTGACGTTGCCTCTGCTGCGGCATGCACTTCAGCTTGAGTTACACAGGGCTGCCCCCATGCAATGTTTTCCTGTCGGAAGAAAGCTGCCACAGGCAAATGCAACAAACTTGAACACGCATCGCGATTTCACTTTGAATGCGCTTGGTCCCCAGCCGCTATGGTGCCACGAAACAGCTTGGGACTTTGGGGCACAAGTCCCATCTGTCTTCTCAACCAAACGCGGTCCAAATGTCGCACATCAGCCTTGGACGCATTTAACATTCAATCTTTTGCATGCCAAAGCTCAAATGAAATGAGGAAACATGTGATAATTTATGATAATTTTACGATAGCCTTCCGAGATCTTCTCGGTCAGTATGATTTCAATTCTGAGGAGCGTTGTCGAACTTCAATATGCCTTGCCCGTCCTGCAAGGCCGGCCACACAAACTGCCGTCTGCACAGGATGTAAAAACGAATATATAGATACTAGATGCTACTAGGAACAAGAAGCTACTAGGGGCTCCTGGCCTTACTACTAGGAGCAAGGACGCTACTAGATTTTTATCTGAACAGTCTTTATCTGAACGCAGCGCTTTGTGCTTTCCCGCCGGATCCCACCAGAATCAGGTATGCAGTGAATGGAGGTGCCTTGCAACTCAGAAGCGTCCGGAGATACAGGGAACCTAGCTAAATGCAAAAGAGTTCCTGAGGACCTCTCCTGACATGCAGAACGATTGATCTTAAGTAGAAGGCCAACGGCCCAATAAAGAAACAAGATAAACAAGGAAAAGAAGAAAGAAAGCCGAAGGCAAAAGGGTGAAATCAGGTCTGGAGCTTTAGACCTCAGTCCTCCAAGTCGTAAAAGCGGAGCAACAAGCTTATCAAAGACGATTTGCCTCCGGAGTGATCAAATATTCCTTGTCAACTTAACTTGTCAACGGTAGGAAACCGAAAGAAGTTTACTTTTTCATACGTTTTCCCTTGCTCGTCTCTCCGTTCTGTCTTTCTCATCTTTCTTCTCGACCTTTCTTTTGTCCCTTCTTTACTCCTTGCAAGAACACTTGTTTCCACTAAGAACACGGCCTGAGCCGCTGAAGCCCACCAGTGCTGTGGTCTTCCCAGCGGCACAATGCAAGGAGACCTTTTCAAGTACCTGAGAAAAGTAAAAGTATAAACTTCACACGTTGTTTGTCAGACAGTGAAAGATTGTGAAGGCCGCACCTGGTGCTTCGGCCGCGAAGGATAGGTGAAAGACACGGAGTCAAAAAGGACATCTCCAGACACCGCACCTGGAATAAAGTACTAGTAGTAAGGCACTTGTTCCTAGTAGCTTCTTGTTACTACTAGTAAGGCACTTGTTACTAGAAGCGATGCACTTGTTCCTAGTAGCATTCAGAATAAATTCGAAGGCTCTTCAGCATGCTGGAATCATACAGAACCGTCCGAACGGAGCATGAAGATATTTAGAAAAAGGGCCGAATGAGTAGATATATAGTACAATTGGAAGGGAACTAACCGACATAGCTCAAAATCTTGGGTTGCTTCAAGAAGCTCCTAGGAACAAGGTGCATCCCTGCTAGTAACAAGGTGCCTTACTACTAGTAACCAGGGTTGCTTCAAGAATTTGAATCTTAGCTATTCATCATTGTTCGTCTCTGCGTGCCTGGGCAGTGCCCTGCAGGCTCAAACACTGGACCATCTGCCAGGAGTCTCAAGACTCGTTCGGCAGAGCCCAGGGCGTCATTGCAGGAGGACCACTCCTCAAAGAGTTTCGATCGATGAAGTCGAACAAGGCTTTACGTTCGTAGCTTCTTGCTCCTAGTAGCGATGCCAGGAGCCCCTAGTAGGGTCCTTGCTCCTTGCTCCTAGTAGTAAGGCCAGGAGCCCCTAGTAGATTCTGTGAACCTACGAATTAAACGCCTTCGCTGTTAGCCCTCTCACAGATGTCCTTTGTCCAAGGACATGTATCAGAATTACATCCAAGACTCGATCCCCAGCTCAAGTGCACCTCAGATAGGGATCCCATCAAATCCCATATTCAATCCCCCAAGATTGCTTCACTTGTCGAAACATGACGAAACCAGGAATTTCTGGATTGAGCGGTCCGGCTCTGCTTTCAATCGACTTCGAACCATTCTCAATTGTCACCATGGAGCTGTCCACTGCTGTGTCCAAATACAGCAAATAGGTGGCCAAGGCCTTTTTGCAACTTGTCGCTAGTAGCTTGTAAGTTGGAGGCCATCGCTTCTAGGTTGGTGTGTGGCTTTTCCAAAAAGACTCCACCGATCTCAATGTTTTGGACTCTGGATCGGCCTGTGCTGTCATTGAGCCAGCCAACACCAAGCTGCTTCCAATCAGCAGGCTCCTTGGTGTGTGGCTGCGGCCTCCTTTCATGGTATCGCTAGCCGCTACCATCCACGATGCATCGCTAGCCAAGAAGCACCATCTGCAGTAGCAGTCCCAAACCATTGCTGGCAGCCGAGAAAATACCAAGCGCCATGCCTCATGGAGCTTTCGTGGAATGACAAAACCCACAAGACGGAGCCCACTCCCTTTGCTCCTCTCCTCTTCGACGTTGTGTCTCGTTGATGACTGCCTCAGTGCGGGTGTGTGGACTCAACGATTTCTCCCTGCACAACCAATTCAACCAGCTCTGTTGCAGCTCTGAGTCTGCGACATTCTGCTGCTTGAAGAGACGTTTGTGTAAATCCTGGACATGATGCTTCTGAAGCTTTGGGAGGGCTCAATCGAAGGATTCAAACATCAACTTTCCAGCCTCTACGATTATCATAGGGTTAAGTTAGATTTACTGCCCTTTCATTCTTTCATCAGTTCCCACCTCAGCACCTAGTGCCCGCACCGTTCGTAGCAGTTGCAGCGCTTCGCTGGAGATACGGCCCAGCTCGGCCAAGGCATCCTGACGCGATGAGGCAAACGGTCAGACAAGGTCTCATTGAGTATTTCGACTCAAGACTGAGCCATGACGGACGACTGGAAACGATCTACAGAGTTTTCAAAGTCAAATTGTAACTACTAGTAATGCCCTTGTTACTAATAGCAATGCCCTTGTTACTAGTAGCTAGCTTCTTGCTACTACTAGTAATGCCCTTAGCTACTAGTAGCTTCTTGCTGCTAGTCTAATTCAGGCCCTGAGAATTAGGCTTTACACCTGCTTTGAGACAACTAGATGTGTGCTCATCAAACAATATGCTCCCTGTCTCGCTGAGAGGTTCAATGTGTCAGCTTCCGAAATCCTGCGTCTTGCGTCCAGTGGAGCGGGTTACTCTGCCATACCACTCAGCACCTTGGCCAGCAACAGTTTTGGACAAAAGAAGGATCCTTTAGGCACGGTAGAGCAAAAAAGAAGACAAAGGACAAAGGATGCAAAAAGGAAAGTGTTTGAGCCCCTTCTTCTTTTCATTGAGGCCCTCCCTGACCAAGAACAAAAGGGGTCCTTATTAGAGAAGTCCAAACACTTTCTGTTTTTCCTCCTTTCTTCTCTGATGAACGCTTTGAATGCCCCGGCATTGTGGCGGTTGCGTATGTCCAGATGGCTCTGGTTCGTCCAGTCCTCTGTTTCTGAGTCTCCGGGCAAACCATGACCAATGTCAACATCAAAAGCACGCGCCATGTGATACTGGGTGATAGTCGCAGAAGTGCCAATAGACTGCCAAAGAAATGGGAACGAAAAGAAGTCTGATCAAGAAGAGCTGGAAGAGCCCCGATCGGAGCCTTCATCGAAATGTCCTTCAATTTCCTCAAGCTTTTATTTAAGCCCGGGGTAGGCCGCTAGGTTAGCTAGGTAGCTAGCTAGTAGAAGAGGTCGCTAGTACCTGCAAGTAGCTACTAGTATCGATGCAGGATAGCTCACGCTTCTTCAAGGAAGATCCCGCCGCCCTACAGGCGGCGGGGGGGAGCTTCCTTGAAGAAGCACTCGCACTATTCAGTTGGTTCCTAGATTTTTAGGGAAACTTAATCTCTTTGACCCCAACCCCAATGTTAGACTTTTTGCATTCAACCCTCACAAGGCCCCATGGCAGTCAGATGCACCTGCAAAGCGCCACAGCTCCGGAGCGAAGAAAAAAGCTGAGCACATCACTCCTGCATCGTTCACATGTGAGGCTCTTCACAGCTGTTGTACAAGAACGATTTGTCCTCAGTCCTCCGGGCATGTCTTTTCAATTCTTTTCATCATCTTCGCGTTCAGTTCACTTTGACATGTTTTCTAACACAGCCAGGTTGCAAGTAGGAGTAGACCGACATGCAGTCGGAGCTCAAACGAGAGGTCAACTCTCCATCCGCTTCGTCAAAGAAGCTCAGCTCCTTGAAGTAATAGCGATGGCCTCCAACCTACTAGCGATGGCCTCCAACCTACTAAATGGCCTCCCACCTACTAGCGACGGCCTCCAACCTACTAGCAATGGTTTCTCAAATTACAAAATTGTTTGATCATGTGTTTGTGAGAAAAGGTTTGTCTTTTGACATGTCTCCCCTTCCCCTTTTACATGCCCGCAAAGACAAAGAAATCCTCTTTCTCTCGTGTTTTCGTTTGCCGTTCTCCATCCGCCTTTAGATCTTTCTTTTTGTTGTGGAACATAAAACATCGTCTAGTTCATAAGGGTCTTGGCGATGGGACAATGCAACTACGTCGAATGTGTTCGACCTATGGACAGTTCAGGCTTTGGAAAACTCCGTCAATCTTGACATGAAATTGTTTTTCATGTCCAGTTTGCACTTGCCTAGGTTATTGAATGCGCGATGCCTAGGCATGTGATTGATCACCGCAGCATTTGCGGCTGCAAAGCCCTGAAGAGTCCGAAGGGGGACGAAAGCTAGGCATTTAATACCTTGCTGCAGTCGTAGAAAAGCTGCGTTGGGCTTGAGCGACCTGTTCTAAAGTTGTGCCAGCTCCCAGCGTTGGCTGCCCCGGTCCTGTGACATCAAAACGCCAAAAGCCTCTTGCCTCAAGCGCGCTACTAAGTTGCTTCTCAGCCTTAGAAGCTCCAAACAGCCTTTCTTTGCTTTTCCAATCAAAAGATATGTGAATGAAGGGCAGCTGCACACTAGAGTAGTAGACAGACAGCGTACAATCTATATGCCGTCTTGTAGCCTCAAAATTGTCAGGCCTGTTCAGAACAAATAAGCACAGGTAGCTCCGCCAGAGCTTTGCAAGCATATCCAAAGCTTTCCCAGATTCGAACTGTGTCTCTGTTTGCTGCTATTAGGTTGGAGGCCATCGCTAGTAGGTTGCGCTAGTAGGTTGGAGGCCATCCCTTCTAGGTTGAAGGCCATCGCTATTAGGTTGGAGGCCATCGCTAGTAGGTTGAAGGCCATCGCTATTAGTAACTCAAAAGAAGATTGCTCTTTTTTATTTATAGTTGGCACCGTGCCAGGCAGCATGTTAAAGGAAAAGTTCCGCAGCCCTTCCGCAGCGCCGCTCAACACAGCGACACCCGCCACGGCCGCACAGCGTGGCAGCAAAAGGTGATGCCTGCCCTGAGCATGTGTCAAAGTCAATAAGGAGCGTAGCAGGCAGAGCGTGATCACTTCACTATTTGGAGTCTTGATTTGGTCTCAATCTTCGTCTCAATCATGGACTGTCAGGCCTGCACGGCTGAGAAGAGTGCTGCTGCAGCTAAGGGTGGAGAGGCCAGTTCAGCCAAAGACGAGAGCACCAAGCCTCCCCCAACGCAATCCGAACGCGCTGCGAACACAACAAGCATCGCCTTCAAAGGAAGTTTCCTTGTCCCACCTGCGCAGCCAAGGCCAAGCCAAAGAAAATCCCTACCTCGACTGCAGATCTGCAGTCCAAAAGATCTTGTGTTTGTATGTCTTTTGTGTGTTGTGTCACCCAACAAAAAATATGAAATATATATATATAAACTGTATGTGTTCGAAAGTTTCAGACGTTGCTGTGCCTCGCAGCAGCCGCAGAAGCTGTCGCACCAACTGCCCACGGCTTTGGTGGGTCTCCTCTCGTTGGAAAGTACCCCAACACTCTAGACGGTTCACGGCACAAAATTCGTTCAAGAAGGGAAGGAAAAACAACGGGAAACAAATATCATAAGAAAGTGCAAGGAGTGTGCTTGCTCCTCTCTGAGACGTTGCCTTGCACCAGCTCCTTCAGCAAATGGACTACACAAATCGAGTGACCCTTGTTTCAGACTTTGTCGAAAACCACACTATCCACACAACCCCGTCAAAATATGTTCAAGAATTGAAACAAACCATATTTGAAAACCAGCAATTTTGCGGGACGTTTGGTCATTTTGTGTATCAAGGCCAAACACCAGCAATCTATTCGCCTGCAGCTGCACATAGTGCAGCCCTCTGCCAGCGCTGAGAAATCCTAGTGTGAACATTCTCTGGGCTCACCAAGCCGCATCGACAAATACAAAAGCACTCAACGATCGATGCGTCCCATCCTCACACCGGCAGCATCCAGGACGAAAGGCGGAGTTTGATTCTGTGGGGATGACATTGGCCGCGGGCCTTACATCCATCAGCAAGAGGAAAAAGTTTTTAGAGATGCCTATGGTTCTCAATCCATGTTTGTGCACCAAGGAAAGAAATGTGCTCACTTGGAAACATCAAGTCCATAATAGAAAAAGAAAAGGCAGCAGCAAGAGCCGTTTTTTCTTGAATGGCGATAAAGTGTCTTCTATGGGAGTTTGTGTTCAAACAGGCTTCCCCGTAAGCTAGCATGGTCGCCTCCATTCGGGAATGGTCCGCTACACGAGTCCCAAGCAACGGGACCAACGGTCCCAACGGGACTCACGGGATCCACTGGACCTGCGGCCTGACGGGACGAAGGGGCCCGTCTCCATTCCACCGGCCAACGCTCCGTACCAGGGAGCCAAGAAGCACATAAACTGAGAGAGGCACCTGTTACTACTAGCGTGGCACAAGAAGCTACTAGTAAGGCACTTGTTACTACTAGTAAGGCACTTGTAGCTCCCAGAAGAAACAGACACTGGGCACCCTGTGCCAAAACGCTGACGCACCAGAAGCATGGTCGTCCGGCATCCATCCACGTAAGCAGTCACACGAATTTCCGACGGTTTGGACACCCTAGGCGTCCGCCCCCAACGAGGTAGTCAACCGCCTCCCTGGGGAGAAAGATATGGTTCCTGGAAAACCCACTTCACCAAGCACCATGTTCTTCGTATCATTTGCCATGTTGTCAGCCCTCTTGATGTGAGAGAAGGCCAATTGGCAGCCTCCTTGACGAAAGGAGACCGGCTGTGGCCGTCGGCATTTATCGAGTTGACTGGCTAATGGTTGTCGGAGATCAATGGGGTCCGAAGTGGTGGGCCAACGAGGTGAGCAAGCATGGCACGGCGAGTGTGGGCCGAAAGGTGGCACTGTGTCTGGCGTACCACTTCTTTCCAGAGGTGGATTGGGGTTTTGTCCTGGACTTTTGCTGGGTCCTCCAAGTCGGGGAAGGCGCCGGAAGCGACCAAAGGACGAAGTCACAAAAGGGTCGAGGAACAGAAAAGAAAAAGCGGTCCAAAACCGTTCAGGCCACTTTCCAATTGACACAGTGGTATCACCCCTGACTTGAGCCAAATGGTGTCTGCTTTTGCGAATAAAATGTGTTCAGTAATTAAACTAACTACATGCTTCCGCATGCTCCAAGTCGACTCCTTTGGTGTGTGCATGTGTATGTGTGTGTGTGTGTCTGCGCCTGGATGTCGACATCGCAAGTAAGGAGCATTTCCGCTCAATGCCATGCTTCAGAGTTCAACCGATCTGTGATGCCTAGTCTAGGTAAACCCACCAATGTCCAACAAAACATTTCCCTAACAAAATTGATACCTAAAACCAAAGATAACCCGGAAGTGCACATGCATGTTCCTACACAAACATGAGTTTCTCAGTAAAAGGGTTTATTCTCGAGCTGCAAAGGCCTTTAGAGAGATCAAGCAGTTGCACTGACACACAAGGTCGTGAGTGTCAACCTCCATGACACAAATGAATCCATTGCATCAAAGTTTATTTGGTCCAGCCCAGAACAGTCGATGGCGCGCTCAACAGCGGATGGCACGGCACAAACAAAACTTCGGATGTTTCTTTGCTAGCAGAACGGCAAAACAAAACAGCCATAGGCCCTGCCTGCACAGAAGAATGCAAGGACAGTGCGGAATGGCCATTGGGTCTATTTAGGGGACTGCAAGCAGTGACACTCAACAACGTGCACACAAATGAGGGTTTTCAATGTTTAATGTTTGATGACGGGCCTGCTGCTTGCACCAATCGCAATCCCAGCTTGCATTGCTTTGCAATACTGTGCTGGGCACTAAACGCATCTAAAACACCCACAAAGTCGACAAAGCATCCAAGTGTCAACAGAATCTAGCAAGAAAAGGTAGCATCTCACTAACACCTCCAGCACCATAGCGTGCCATAGCAGCATTCCTCCCTGAGGAATGGCTGGAACACAGCCCAGTTGCTCCAACTGCAATCGTCCATTTGTTGAAACCTCTTCTTTGAAGAGATTTGATCTCACAGAGATCACTCGTAAGTTGTCACTAGGTGGTCCTTTCCGTCTTGAAACACACGGACGCTGAGATGTGGAGATTGGAGAGACACCGAAAGGACTAAAAACTGTCCTAGAGTCGAACGCGGCATGGTTGGACTCTGGCCTGCTTGGGTTTGAACCCAAAGATCAGACAGCATCCTCCCTGGAAAGGCAAAACCTAAGAAGCCAAAGGAAATGGACACCTACCTCTCAAAAGTAAATAAAAGTAACACAACGTGCCTTATTCAGAGAAGGACTTCTAGTTCATCTTCGCGGCATATTGAAGTGACAGTTCAACGATCAAACAAGCATGATATAATAGTGTGTAGGACGATGAATTCCCCAAAGTTTATGAGTGTGTGCGCCACGACATTTAAGCAAAACGGCGTTGTGTGGGCACTCAAAACAAATCAAAACAACCTCCGAGCTGTATGGACGCTAGTAGGTTGGAGGATGTTGGAGGCCATTGCTACTAGGTTGGAGGCCATCGCTCTTAGGCTGGAGGCCATCGCTAGTAGTAGCTCAAAAGAAGATTGTTTTTCTTAAAATTAGACAACTTAATGAGTCCTTTCCAAGGTTCTGGCGTCACTTGCTCGCCTTTGGCGTGTGACAGGGCGCCAGCTGGGTTGTCTGACCCAGCAGCCTTGCAGCTCATGGTGGGCAGGTGACTGTCGAGTCATAGGAATCATGGGTCCCAAACCACCAAAGCAGGAGAAAAGGCTATCCGCGGCACAGTTGGTGCATCCTTTCAGCTGGGAGAGGGAGAGGAAGGAGTTGCCTCATGGTCTGCATCGCTTGGAGTTAAGCGACATCTTGATCTGTGACATAACAATCGTTCAAGCCGGCAAATGTAAGAATCCAACCTTTTTTCCCAACTTTTCCAACTTCGGCCTTGGTCGGCAGCGGCCAAGGCCCTCTCCCCTTTCGCACACGAAGCATGCATTCAACATTCCTCGAAGCACTTCAGGATGCGGACGTCTTGGGTACTCGCAACGACCCAGGCATCACAGGTCCATCTTGGCTATAACGGACCTGGACCCAAAAGGTCTACGAAAGCTGAGCCCAAAACCGCCTTCTGAAAGGCACCGCCCTTTGGAAAGGTCCATGAGGCCGCAGCAAAAGCAGGAGCAGTCGTTCCCTGAATCTCCTCCGTCACACGGCTCGTTCAGAAAAAAGAAGGTCACCAAAAAACAGCGTTCTCGTCTTAGAAGAAAAAGAGGGGTGTCCTTGCGGACTTCTTTGCCTCCATGTGTCTTATACCAGTCCTTAGATAATGTGTCTGGATACGTGTGGGCAAACGTACGTCTTCCGGTGCTTTTTCTGGATATGTGCGAGTGCCCGTGTTTGATTCACCCATGACGGATTCCAATGTGTTTCGGTGATTGCAAGAGCAACAGTTGTACCAGTGTCTCCAAGTTGCAAAAATCTGGTCCAAATGATTGCATCGAGCCTGCGATGGGGTGCAGCGCATGAAGTGTAGTGCTTGCGTTTTGTCAAATGGTCCTCTTGGGAACCTCCTAGATCAAACGTGTGCAACATTTTGCAACCTGCTCTGGTGTAAGAAGTCCAGTTGCTTCCAAGCGCAATGAACAGTGCTTCAACCTTCTTGGAAGTTCGAATCTTCAGACCAGTTGCTCCATGTTGTTCCGATTCTAACAAACGATGATGAACTCTTGACCTTGGAGAGAGGCTGCCCGCCTGGTGCGAGAATTCCTGCATCCCAAGAAATTGCTTCAAACATGGAGATGAGACACTGACACTCTCTAGAATATTTGAAGCTCTGCTTCAAAAAACCATGGAAAGCAAAGATGACAAAGAGAGGACGAAAAAGAACTGCTTGTTCAACGAAATCGTCAAGCCAAAACTACTCGGGTCCCTGAGGCGGTGATCACCATCCAAATCCACGTTCAGCATCAAGCGCCTCTCGAAATAGGGCGTGTTGGCGTCGGTCGAAATAGGTCAGACACGGTGGAACTATGTGGAACTGGATCTGGCATTGTGATGACATGGGTTTATAAAGCTAACAAGTATGTCAAAGAGTGCCAAATGCTACTAGTAACAGGTGCATCGCTAGTAGTAACAAGTGCCTTACTAGTCGTAACAAGAAGCTACTAGTAAGTGAACCCTGATCTCGGATATCTCGGATCTTGTCACCTCAAGGAGGTATCCATCTCGCTCCGCCACTGATATCGTGTTTCAGTTTGGCTCATCCTGGACACTGCTCTTGCTCCGCTCCAAGAAACAAAGTCCAAATGGCCAATGCAAAGCTCCTCACAGGACTTGTTGGCTTTGACTTTGGAGAAGCCTCCGAACGGCTCACAAGCAGTCACTGTATAAGTCACTAGTATGAGTCCATCTATGTGTGTCATTCGTTTCTGGCATCTGCCCAGCCTCTTCACCTGGCGCAAGAACTGGTCTGAGTGAGACGAAAGCTCGAAAAAACGTTTGGAAGGGCACAGGTTCTCTTCGCTCTCCCCCTATAGTAAGTCGCAAAAACCACATAAAAGCGCAGCGTGATCGTCAATATAGCGACGGCCCGAAACTAAGAATGACTTTTGTGCCATTCCGTTTCAAAAAAAATAAACCTCCTAAAACAGTAAAAACGTCCCATTTTTTTCAGCGGCCCAAACAACTTAGAAGCAGTGCAACAC